TACTGGGAGCTCCAGGCACTGCACACCAGTGGGTTACACTGGTCTATACTGGTCTGTACTGGGAGCTCCAGGCACCGTACACCAGTGGGATGCACTGGTCTGTACTGGTTTATACTGGTCTGTACTGGGAGCTCCAGGCACTGTACACCAGTGGGATGCACTGGTCTGTACTGGTCTATACTGGTCTGTACTGGGACCTCCAGGCACTGCACACCAGTGGGTTACACTGGTCTGTACTGGTCTATACTGGGAGCTCCAGGCCCTGCACACCAGTGGGATGCACTGGTCTGTACTGGTCTATACTGGTCTGTACTGGGAGCCCCGATGCCGCTCCCCACCTCTGTCAAGCCCAGGCAGAATTCCCACCGTGGGGATCCAGAGGGATTTGGGGATCCCCCCCAGGCCAGTCCTGGGCAGATCCCCCAGCATTCCCAGCATTCCCAACCCACTCCCAGCCCAGCAGAATTCCTGCAATTCCAGGGAATTTAACCAAGCATGGAACCATTTCAGGGCAGCAGGAACAGCCCCCAGGACAAGGATTGGGAGGAGCTCTGGGATCCTGATCCAGCAATCCCAGAGCCCTCCCAGGCACCCCGGGATCCCTTTTCCTTGGGATCCCCTTTTCCCTGTGGTCCTTTTCCCCCTGGAATTCCCTTTTTCCTGGGATCCCCTTTCCCCTGGAATCCCTTTTCCCTTTTATCTCTTTCCCCATGATCCCTTTTTTCCCCTAGAATTCCCTTTTCCTGTGATCCCCTTTTCTCTGTGATCCTTTTTCTCCATGATCCTCTTTTCCCTGTGATCCTTTTTTTCCCTGGAATCCCTTTTTCATTATTTCTTTTCCCTGGGATCCTTTTTTCCCTGGAATCCCTCTTCCTTTTTATCCCTTTTCTCTGGGATTCCCCCTTTCCCTGTGATACTTTTTCTCCCTGAAATTCCCTTTTCCTGTGAACACTTTTTCCTTTTTCTCCCTTTTCCCTGGGATCTTTTTCCCTGTTACCTCTTTTCTCCAGGATCTCCTTTTCCCCATGATCCTTTTTCCCCTGGGATCTCTATTCCCCGAGATCCCTTTTTCCTGTAATCCTTTTTTTCCTGGAATCCCCCTTTTCCCTGGGACCCTTTTTTCCCTTTTCCCTGGAACTCCTTTTTTTCCCTGAGATTCCCCCTTTCCCTGGGACCCTTTTTTTCCCTTTTCCCTGGAATTCCTTTTCCCTCACCTTCAATGGGTGTGCAGTGGAACGCGTGGGCGATTTTATTCCAGGCCTCTGTCACTTGTGTGTTCTGGGATTAAAAAAA